AACAAAACATTCTCATTAGACATATTATCCTAAGTCCCTTCTTCCCTCACCATCTCCTTTGAGAATTCTCCCTGGCGTTTCCCTTGAAGGATGCTCCATTTTTCTATGGCCCCCCCAAAATCTCAATACCTCTCCCATTTTATTGGACTTTTCTCTCTAAAATATAAACTACAACCTACCACAGTTGTTAAATAACAAGTCCTCAAACAGTGGAAGATTTTACCCTTTTTATCTCTCGCAATTTTATTTATCATTCAAGTTCTTAGGTTTTGCTTGGCTTAGCTAAATTCAGTATAGATGGCATCCTTCCAACTTTGTGGCCACAGGTACTATTTTTTAAATACTGATGTCTCTAGTACCAGCACCAGGAAAACAGAAAGATTCCATTAAATGTATGTGGTGGACCTACCCTAGCTCCTTGGGGAGGCAGTTCCCAAGAGAGTAAGTTGAGCCCAAGCCACAGAGGACCACTACAACTCAGAGAAGAAATTGGGTATGCTCATTAATTGACGATCAAAGCCAGAGATTGGGGTGAATAGAAAGACAATAGAACCACAAATGAATGTGCAGGACTTCAGGTCTCAGACATGTCAGTCATCTGTCCTGGGTATTATTAGCATTTACCATAGAGTGGATATAAACACGAAAGAGCTAAAATACCATCCAGACTTTCTTCACTTGAGCCACAGAATACAAAAATATGTAGAGTGGCTATTTCCCTAAGTCTCCCAAGGATGGAACATAATTAGTACAATTCTAGACGCAAAGGATAGAAGTTAATTCATGGCATGCAAAGGATATGTTAGGTCAGTGGTTCCCAACATTAGTGAGTATCAACCACTCCACAAGGGCTTGTTAAAACACCAATTTCTGGGGCCTCCCTCATAGTTTCTAACCCAGCAGGTATAGGGAAGAGCCTGAAGAAAATGTGCATTTCTAACGAGTTCCCACACATCACCATGTCCTACTAGTCTGAGACCACACTTGCAGAGCCACCACCCAGGACATTAGGGAATCATTCTCTTGGAGAATTCTGGTTGCTAAAAGTCTAACTGGACTTGTGTGTAGTTTCTCTTCCATATATATCAGTGTTCTGACTCATGAGTTCAGTGTCATCCCTTCTTTACTGAAGGGTCTGATTGTGACATTTAGAAGCCACTAAGAAATTTTAATTTTTTTAATTTATTTATTTATGATAGTCACAGAGAGAGAGAGAGAGGCAGAGACACAGACAGAGGGAGAAGCAGGCTCCATGCACCGGGAGCCCGATATGGGATTCTATCCCGGGTCTCCAGGATCGCGCCCTGAGCCAAAGGCAGGCGCCAAACCGCTGTGCCACCCAGGGATCCCCACTAAGAAATTTTAAACAGAACTTAGCAGTACGTAGACCTTGCCCTTGAAATCGACTTTTAATGCTTTCCTTCAAAGTTATTAAACTTCACATCATAATAGCAGAATAGATACTTCATAGCTGAAAGTGAAGTGGCTTTGAAATATAACCAAACTTTGGATATTACACCAGGCAGGTATACTAGTTATCTGATCAATTTTAATTAACCTCTAGTAATATACTTGGGACACATCAGGTGCCACAGCACAAACATATACAACACACCTACCACAATCCAGCAGGAAAAAGAGATGAGGAATATACTAATACTTCCATCACTAGAGTAGCATTTTAATGGCACTAACAAGAAAGGCTATATGAGTTTGTAAGGGCAAATACAAATCCAAAAAAAAATTTTTTAAGACTCTCCAGTAATTTGAAAAAAGAAAGAGGCCACCCACGTCCCTTTTCTTAGAGCATTTACTTTAGAATTTGTATTTGTAAATTCTTTTTCTGCCTCTTTAAGACTATGTAAATCTTTAAAAAGCAAATAAGCCTCTTGACAGTTTTACAACCCAGAAATGTTTTTCTCAAGGATTTGGGAGCCGTCTCTTTAAACCATAATCAAGGAAGATATCACACCTATCTCCCAGTTTCCATGGTAGGGTAGGATCCTAACTTTGGCAGGGCGCCTGGCTCCAAGTTGCAAAACTACCTTTAGTGGCAAAGATATGAAAAGTTATTTTTCCTTTGGGCAAAGGCAGTTAGCAAACACAGATAGCCACCCAATCACCAGATGAATTCAGGATGAACTGGGTGTGACAAACGGCACTGTCAAGGCTTCTTTCTTGAGAACTAGTTTTCTATCTTCAGAATATGTGTGCAGTGGGCTCTACCTGGGTGGCTTTACAAAAAGGGGAGACTTTTTTCTGTCTTTGCAACTGGATAACAGATGACCTGTGATACCCATCACAATCTGGTCCAATAATCAAACTGTTTTCTTTCTTTCCTATATTTTGTGGAGAAGAATTTCTGCATTGGCAGAAGATTTTTTTTATTCTTAATTATATTTCCTGCGAAGTTCAGGATATGGAAATAACATTTCTGACAAGATAATTGACAGTTGGGGGAAGGTCTCCTAGGGGAGAGGCCTGGAAGGTGGGGTGAGATGTTGATCGGAGAGAAGAGGGACAGGGGCATTTCAGGCAGAGCACATGACCCAAGCAAGGGCTAAAGTGGCACAATGCAAAAATGTTCAAGGAAGGATGGAGAAATCAACTTAGCTAGAGTGAAGGACTGCTCACTTGAGAAACAGACCCAGAAGTGCGGGCTCTGAGTGGAGCATCTGCTTCGTCTTAGAGCTTATAATCAAAGCATATGTAATTAACAGGACTTCCCCAAAGCAGCCAAGTATCAAGTAAAGATGACTCAATACAAACTTCATCAAAATCAAAGTAAACTATTTTTCAGTGGGAATGGCCCAGTCTTGGAATTTCCTTTAGAAAGCTGAAGAATCTTTAAGGTTAGAGAGTGTTTTATTCCCAATAATTTAGTCAACAAATTTTTACATAATATGCACTTTGTGCTAGGTACTGAGCTAAGCACTAAAGATATGTAAATAAAAAAAAGTGAAATGATTTCTGCGTTCAGAGAGCTTATAGACTATTGGGTAGGTACCAATGTAATACTTAGATTTATTAACCTCTTTGCTGCTAGGCATTGTGCTAGGCATTTAGCCCAACTCCCAAAGCAAGCATTATTATACTCATGATACAGATGCAGAAAGAGCCTCCAAGAATTTAAACTGCTCAAGCTTATGTAGTCTGAAATGCAAGGTATGATTACAAACGCAATTCATATGGTGTCACTCCTATGTGGAATATAAGAAATAGTGAAAAGAACCATAAGGGATGGAGGGAAAACTGAGTGGGGAAAATCAGAGAGGACAAGAAACCATGAGAGGCTCTTAATCATAGGAAGCAAACTGAGGGTTGCTGAAGGCGAGGGGGTGAAGGATGGGGTAACTAGGTCACAGACATTAAGGAGGGCATGTGATGTGATGAGCACTGGATGTTATACTATATGTTGGCAAATTGAATTTAAATAAAATAAAAATAAAACATGCCAAAAAAACCAACAACACAGTGTTTTTGAGTTCAGGCAGCCAAGCTCTTCATAGGGCAGCAAGTGCTAAAAGCACACATTTCTTCCTAAAGTGGCAGGCAACAAGTCAGTTCTTTATTAAGCATATCCGCTGTAAGATTTTTGTAGACACACTTTATCAATTTGAGGAAGTTCCCTACTATTTCTAGTTCACTGAAAGTTTATCTCATTAAAGGATGTTGAATTTTGTCAAATGTTTCATCATCTATTAAAATGATCATATGATTTTTTAGTGTATTCTGCTAATATAATGATTTACATTGATTCATTACAAATGTTAAATCAACCTTATATTCCTAGGATAAACTCTAATTAGTCATGACGTATCTTCCCTTCTTGTTGGATTTCATTTGCTTTATTTTTTACAGAAGTATAATTGATGCATGAGATTATATTAGTTTCAGGGGCACCATATAATGATTCAATATTTGTATGTTTTACAAAATGATCACCACAATAAGCCACAAGTACACACATACTTGAAACAAAATTTTCTTGTGATGAGAACTTTTAAGATCTCCTCCCATAGCAACTTTCAAATATGCAAGACAGTATGATTAACTACAGTCACCATGCTGTAGATTATGTCTCTATGACTTATTTATTTTATTCCTGGAAGTTTGTACTTTTTGACCACCTTCACCCACTTGCTAATATTTTGTTAATGATTTTTATATCTATAATACCAAGGGATATTGATCTGTAGTTTTCTTTTCTTGCAATTTCTTTGAATGGATATTAAGGTAATGCTAGCATCTTAGAATAAGTTGTGCAGTGATCATTCCTATTTTCTAAACAAATCCATATAAGGTAAGTTTTTTCTTCATGAAATTTTTCATAGATTTCGCCATTGAAACCATTGTGACCTAGAGTTGTCTCAGTGAGATAGATTTTGACAATAAATTTTATCTTTAATAGGGTGATTCAGATTTTGTTTTTTCTTTTGTCATATTTGATAAGTTGTATTTTCCAAGAAACTTGTGCACTTTGTCTAAGTTTTTTTAATGTATTGACAAAAAAATGTTCATAGTTTTTTCTTATTATCCTTTTAATTTTTGAAGGATCTGGGGTTGATAATCCCTCCTGATCCCTGCTCTTGATGATTTATGTTCTCTCCCTTTTCCACCCATCTTATTAAAAGTTCGTCAATTTTGTCAGTGGATCTCTTCAAAGGACCAGTTTGTACACTTATTAATTTTCTCTATTGTCTGTTCTCTTTCAATGACTTATTCTCTTCTCTTTTTAATTTCCTTTCTTCTACTTACTTTCTTCTTACTCTGCTGTATTTCCCTAGTTTCTTAATATGGGATCTTAGTCCTTCATTTTAAATCTTTCTTCTTTTCTAATATAAGTGTCTAGATCTATAGATTCCTTCTAAAGATTGCTTTCTCTGCCTCTTATAAGCTTTGGCGTATTGTATTCATTGTCATTCAGTTCAAGATATTTTCTAATTTCCTTTGTGATTTTGTCTTTGGCTCATGAATCACTTAGAAATACGCTATTTCATGTGCTTGCTTTGGCAGCACATATACTAAAATTGGAACAACACAGAGATTAACCTGGTCCCTGTACAAAGATGACAGGCAAATTCATGAAGCAATCCATATTTTTAAAAAAGATCTGCTATTTCATTTTGGAGTATTCATGGTTTTACTTGATCTCTTTTTATTATTAATTTCAATTTAATTCTGTTGTGTTCAGAGAAAACTCTCTGTATGATTTAAGTCCTGCTAAATTTATTGAGACTTGTTTTGTAGCTCAGCGTATGATCTGTCTTTGTGAATACACCACGTGCATCTGCAGTTGTCGGATGTAGTGCTCTATAAATATCAATTACATCAATGGGGTCAACAGTGTTGTTCAGATTTTCTATGGCTCTATTGAATATTTTTTGTCCAGTTATTTGATCAATTTCTGGAAAAGGAATTTTATAGTAAAATACCGTAATTGTGGAATTATCTATTTCTTCCTTTCATTCTGTCAATGTTTGCTACATTTATTTTGAGATTCTGTTGTTAAAGACATACATAATTTATAATTGTTGTGTCTTTCTGATGAACTGTGCCTTTTATTATTATGAAATATCCCTTTTGTTTCTTGTAGTGTTCTTGTCTTGAAGTCTATTCTATGTAATATTTAAAATGATGATTTCATTCTTCTTATGTTTGCCATTTGCATGGCATGTCTTTTTTCCATCCATTTACTTTTAATCTTTATGTGTCTTTTTATCCAAAGTGTGCCTCTGCAGGAAGAATATAGCGTCTTGCTTTTTATCTACTCTGTTTATATTTGTTTATAATTGGAGTTATTATACTATTAGCATTTAATATAATTAATTGGTTCAGATTGAGTCTATTATCCATTTTTCTTAGTCTAATTTTTCTTCTTTATTTATATTGTTCCCACTTTCTTGCCTTCTACTTGATTCTTTGATTATATTTAGCATTTCATTCTAATTTATCAATCTGCTTTGGCTGATTTTCTTTTTTTTAAATTTAAATTCAATTTGCCAACCTATAGTATAACACCCAGTGAATTTCTTTTTCTAAGCAGCTGCTCAAGGGATTACAGAAAACAGATCTAGCCTGGGCTCAGATTCTCTCCATACTATCTGGCCCACAGGGCCTACTTCTTTTGGTTGCTGGCCAGAAAGACAAGGTTTCTAGCAGAGAGCTGCCAGTGCAGCTGTGACCACCTTGCCTTTTTCCATGAACGGGAGCCTGCACCTAAAAGGAAGGTTTAAGAGAGGTACACACACCAAAAAAAAGTAAACACAAGTAGAATACTATGTGGCCACTGCATGGTTTTTCTCCAAACCTGAATTCTTTTGTTCACCTTTAGGCTTGCAAGGAGTTGTTTTTGTTTTTCACAAACGGTTTCATTGTAACCAGTGAGAAGAACAGGCTTTAGGAGGTTTATAGCACCAGAACAGAACCAGAGCTCTTCCTTTACTCTTGGATTTATCCAATTAACTGGTATACATGATTGAGAAATTTTAAGAAAGAAAGAATACTACTTTTCGGAGTTCTTGCCTATCTCAGGATGTCTCTGACTTTTGAACAAGCAAAACATTTGACAAAGTATAGAATTTTTAGGTCGTTTTATTTCCCCCTTAAAAGATGCTATTACTCCATTGTCTTCTGTGATTAAATATTACAGGGGATCCCTGGGTGGCTCAGCGGTTTAGTGCCGCCTTTGGCCCAGTACATGAACCTGGAGCCCTGGGATGGAACCCCGGGATCGAGCCCCGGGATCGAGTCCCACGTCGGGCTTCCTGCATGGAGCCTGCTTCTCCCTCTGCCTGTGTCTCTCCCTCTCTCTCCCTCTCTCTGTGTCTCTCATGAATGAATAAATAAATGAAATCTAAAATAATAATAATAAATAAATATCACGGGGGAATAATCTGAAGTCTGCTTAATGTTTTTGTTTTTACACTTAATGCTCCTTTCAACCTGGATACTTACAAAGTTTTTTTCTTCCTCTTTTGATGTTAAAATTTTTTGGGGATATTCCTACATATTGAATATTTGTGAATTTTACCAAGAACAAAACACAGCCTTTTCAAATTTTTAATCTAAGGTTTAATTTAGCTCTGGATGATTTTTCCTGTCAGCCAATGCCATGTCCTTGTTTTTCTCATTTAATTTATAAACAAAATCTCTACTATCTCTTTCCCATCTATCATTTTCCTGATCAGTTTCTTCTCTTGAGTCTCCTCCTTGTATTCTCAAAGTGTTCTGCATTTGTTTTCTACAACATGACAGTGTTTTCAGCCTTTGTCACTTCTATAAAAATACTCTATCATATTTCAGATTTTCATGCATCATTTCTTTATGTAAACCAGAACATTTTGCATTTCCACTTCACTTTAACATGTTCTTCAACCTTTGTGTTGTAGAGATTTTTTCTCATCTTTTAGGAAGGAAATCATAACTTATTTCCAAACTGCTATTTTTTAGGTCCCCTGAGTGGCTCAGTTAAGGGTCTGACTCTTTTTTTTTTTTTAAGATTTATTTGAGAGAGAGAGAGAGAGTGCATGCACACACAAGCACAAGTGGGGGTAGGGGCAGAGGCAGAGGCAGAGGGAGAGAGGAGAAGCAGACTCTAGACTGAGAGCAGAGCCCAGTACAGGGTTGGATCCCAGGACCCTGAAATCATGACCTGAGTTGAAATTAAGAGTCAGAAGCCTAACTGACTAAGCCACCCAGGCACCCTTAAATGTCCCATTCTTTTTTGTTTTTGGGTTTTTTTTGTAAAGATTTTATTTGAGAAAAAGAGTAAGAGAGAGAGAAAGCACTAGAGGGAGGAGGGGCAGAGGGAGAGGAAGAAGCAGACTCTCCACTAAGCACAGGGCCCAACATGGGGCTTGATCCTAGGACCCCAAAAACATGATCTGAGCCAAAGGCACCTGCTTAACTGACTGAGCCACCCAGGCGCCCAGTGTCTCACTCTTGATTCTGCTCAGGTCATGGGATCAAGACCTACATCAGACTCTACCCTCAGCAGGAGTCTGCCTTAGATTCACTCTCTCCAGATCCCTCTGTCCCTCCTCCCTCACTCTAAAATGAATAAATCTTTAAAAAAAATCTTAAAAAAAGAAAATGTTCTTTTTCCATGAAAACAAGTCATTTTCAGATATTTGCCCTTCTCATAATTGTCAGCAGAGCATTTGTTGTCTTTATTTGCATTCTTTGTATAGTATCCATAGAGTTTTTCTGTTCGCTTAGTTCAAATAGAAAGACCTCTACTTAGAATTTGGCAACAATGTGAGATGTCTTTAGCTCTTCCCACCGACCTGCCAGTGCTTGCAGCCTCCTCATCTCAGACCTCGGTAAGAATGTCAGGTAAACCTGGGCAGCCACTAATATAATTAGCAGAGTCTGACAGTATTCATTTAGTGTAAGTCTGCTGGCCTGAGACTGGCTATTTACTTGATCCAACAGCTGGAGATCTTAAATGCTAAGTCGAATGTTTACAGCTTTTGTTTCAGTGAACTCTATTACATAGAGCATTAAATCCTAAGCAAGCACTGCTCCCTAGAACCCTGCCCATCTCTGCAACTGTTCGTTAAATTTCTTCAATGACAAAGAATTCTAGGACACAACGAACCTCTGCCCATCTTATACTCCTGTCATATTTGTGCCTGGGAATATTAATCCCTCAGTGAATATAATAAGAGAAGAACAGGAGTCTGGGATTTGGAGTAAGATTGACTATTTTCCAGTGAACTCCTGTGTCACAGATTTAAGAATGCATTTCTCAAAGCCTTCCTCAATTCTCTGAGGGGCTCTGAACTGTCTGCAATAAAGTGGACAAGACGGTGAGTGATCTATGATGCTCCTTGGCCATCCTAAAATGGTGTGTTCTGAAGAAATTCCACTCCAACTCTGACATCTCTTATCTTTATTTTCCAGTGTGCTTGCTAGTTTTTATCTTTTTTCTATTTTTTTAAAGCTATTTTAATAAGAAGTTGGGAGGAGAAATATCAGGTCTGGCTGTCGGGTCTGTCACCATAGCAACCCAGAGCCCTCTGTAATTACCTTCTGAACACCCTGCTTAGTCGGTATGATTATGTCAATGACTGGCACTATGTCTGTGGTAAAAATAAAGCTGTCAGTGTGACAATTTTCTCAAGTCAGAGAATATTCCACCCTGAGGCTGGATAAAAGCTCTGATTCTCTAGAGGAACTAAAGGGTTTGCTGTGAGCACACTGGCACTCAGGAAGAGTTCCAGCCTCCAGATTTCTGCTCCCCTCTTCTCATACAGCTCTGCTGACTCTCCTTGGAAAGAGCCAAGCAAACTTACCAGTTGTTTTGAATTCGGGTATATTTGAGACAGAACACCAAAAAATTAGACTCTAAAGGCAAGCAGCTAAGTTTACATTTTCATTTATCCTTCAGTAGCTCCTCACCAACACTGCTTTGATACATGTATCTTGAGAGGCTATTTAGACCCCTACACAGACTAATTCATTTTACTATCTTCACTCTTTTTTTTCCTACAATATTTGATTATAAACATGTTCAAACATACAGCAAAGGTGAAGGAATTTTACAGGGAATTTTACACTATACCCTCATCTAGACTTTACCATTAACATTTTACTCTATTTGTTTTAACATGTTTATCCATCTTTTACCTATCCATCCACTTATTCATCTTTTTTTTAAACATCACAAATACATTTTTATTTGTCACCATTAAATGTCTGAATTTTATTTTTTTTTATGATTTCTTTTTTTTTCCTTTTTTTTTTTTATAAATTAATTTTTATTGGTGTTGAATTTACCAACATACAGAATAACACCCAGTGCTCATCCCGTCAAGTGTCCCCCTCCGTGCCCGTCACCCATTCACCCCCACCCCCCGCCCTCCTCCCCTTCCACCACCCCTAGTTCATTTCCTAGAGTTAGAAGTCTTTATGTTCTGTGTCCCTTTCTGATATCTCCCACACATTTCTTCTCCCAAATGTCTGAATTTTAAACAGATTCTTGGACTGGTGGTTCATATCCATCAGCTCGTTCAACTTTAGCACCAGTCTCATCTGCTGTAGCTTTTCCAGAACTACTACCTTCACCATGAAGCTCCATGATTTTTCCCAATTGAAACT